TTAACTGCTGCCTGGCGCTCCGCATGCATGCGTTGCACTGAATCACCTAGCAACAGCAGCAGCAGCAGCAACAGCAGCAAGCGCAGTTTCTACACGCAGCAGCAGCAGCAGCAGGAGCAGCAGCAGCAGCAGCAGGAGTATTGCATACGAGTTTGCGTATATCTAGTTTATTATCGATGAGTGATTGGGGCTGGTAGTTGTGTTTATAGGGCCTCTGCATGCGCTGCTGCTGCTGCTGCTGCTGCTGCTGCTGATCCACCAGGGGAGACGCCTCCTCCCATAGAGCAGACCCCAACACACGCAGCCACGCTGTAGCCTTCAATGCTGCAGACACATATATATTTATATTTATATATTTATATTTATTTATTTATTTATTTATTTATTTATTTATTTACGTTTGTGTGTGTATGTATGTGTGTGTGTGTGTGTATAAGTTTATATATATGTATGTGAAGATACACCTGAAAGAGATGCATATTCTCTCGATATATTGCTGCTGCTGCTGCTGCTGCTGCTGCTACTTCTGCTTCTACTTCTGCTGCTGCTGCTGCTACTTCTGCTGCTACTTCTGCTGCTGCTGCTACTTCTGCTGCTACTTCTGCTGGTGCTGCTGCTGCTACTTCTGCTGCTGCTACTTCTGCAGCTGCTGCTGCTGGTGCTGCTACTGCTGCAGCTGCTACTGCTGCTGCTGCTGCTGCAGCAGCAGCAGCAGCAGCAGCAGCAGCATAGTGTGTGTCTTACTTTTGGCTGCGTGGTTTCCGAATACGTTTTTTAGGTTATGTATTGCTGCTTCTCTGTTTATAGATTGAGAGAGAAAGAGAAGAGCTTCATCGTACCTTATAAACCCTTTATTTTTTTTCTGCTGCTGAGATATTAATTTATATAAAATATAGTGCTGCAGCAGCTGACCCTCACGTTGCTGCTTCCTGCTGCTGCTGCTGCTGCTGCTGCTGCTGCTCTTGTATCGGCTGTACAGACACCACAAATCCAAACACTCTAAATACCCGTCCCCGTTCGAATCCGCCTCCCTGCAGCACCAGCAGCAGCAGCAGCA